CTCTAAGGAGAATTTGACATCGCTGGAAAAGGGATACGAATCAGACTACCCATCTCCCTCAAAACCTTCCTTGTCTAGAATGCCACTTCAAAATCCATTCAAAGATAAAATGCTTCGGAAAACAAATGAGAGCATCAATGGAAATCCCTTTTACAAAGATTTAAACCAAAAAATTTATAAACACATTTAGCACTACTCAAGAATTATCTGATGGAAAATCATCAGAAAATCAGACATCACTCTTCCAAAACCGAATTCTTCTAAAATCCGATCTTCCAAAGGCAACATATCGTTCCCATTTTCTCCTAATCCCGATGTTGAAGAAAGTACGAGGCGTGCGAAACTATGGAAACCAAACCAACCTCGAAAACAGGAACCGAAGGCCAGAAAACAAATAGAATTGGAAACCTCAGACAACAATACTAGGACGAGGTTGTCGAAATCATCAACGAACCCTTCTCCAAGACGGCCACTCAGATCTAAGAAGTCGACCACTATTCCAGGTTATTTAGCTTCTGACGAGTCGATGTTTATTCCTTCGGATTCTTCCGTTATTAGCGATTGCGAATGGATAGCAGGAGTCTTCCACTGTAGAGACGTGGTGAGGGAACGAATTATTTCCGGTAGCCTGAATGATATAAATAACGATAAGATCACTGCTAATTCTCGTAATGCAAATGATAACAGAAAGGTTGAGATTTTGGACGACAACCCAAACGATGAGCTATCATCTTCACAATGCCCAGTTAGCATCATTCTGGCGGAACCAAGTGACATCCACAATAACAGATCCAAAAGACCAGATAATTGCAGCACACAGTGAAGATTCCCCGTTAAAATTTCCGATTTACGAGATAGTTGACTCTTCCGACTAGGCCACACGCTCAAAAATCCGGTAACGAACCGCTTTTACGTCGGTCAAGCCGAAACGTGGGCACGCTAAAATTTTACGGTAAAAGGTATTTTATAGATGTTATAGATCTATTAGAAGAAACATCTGGCTCAGCCTCGAATCCAATGGTCTTGGATAATGAATCCCATACTTCTTCTCATCACAGAATTTCTTTGGGCGAGATGACTATACTGTCGGACTCTTCATTTTCTGACACTCACTCCCGTTCCTCGACCGACGAATCCTTAAGAATTGCTATCAAAAACTACGATGAAAATACAGTCATAGACAGCAAACTATTCAATACAGATTTCGAAAACTTTATAAACTGCTACAAAACTTCTAATTCAAAATTTTTTTTCTTTCTTCGATATACTCGGTGCTTCTCATTTCGTGAACTCTACACACAACAAAAAATCATCATATTCGCTAACTGATTGTTAACTCATATTTCTACATTAAAACTCCTTCGGATCAGTGTTCCTTATTCAATTTAATGCTCGGCTGTTCCAAAATCTAATTTAGCAATTTGCGTTTTCCTGCTCTGAGGAATGATGTGAATCCTTTTTTATATCTAATCTACTTTAGCTAATGACGTATCTAATTGATATAACCGGTGATATGATATAATGATTGACCTTCGCACTTTCATTCTCTCCGGAGGAGAGAATGCTCTGTCACTTTTTAATGTTTTGACTTTCAGATTAATTCACTTTTATCCTTTTAATCTTTTAACTGTACTCGTGTCCCTGGAATCAGTTGAACTCTGACCGCCTTCAGTTTTACCGACCAACCCTGGGAACAGACTTTTACATACAATCAGAGTACATACGAACCTTCAGTGTAAGAAGTAGAGGTCGACTCATCTAAAATCGCAGACTCTTGCTGTTGTAGTAACAAACGTGTTTCTTCTAGACCTCGACGTATTGTTGCACCTCTGGAATTGTACTATGATAGGTTGTTTTTAGATGTGGAAGGTGAGTCTTGTGAGGTTGCCCTGAGCAGTGGAGAAAACCCGATTCTACGGAGCGAAGACTCAACCAGTGACCGTGTCCAAGAAATTGAAGATACATGCACAAATGTTTTAGTAAAGCAAACAATCAGCTCTACATCAAAGCTTCTCACAGGTGCTGCGACGGAGATATTTAATAAAACTATGACCTTTATAGAGGACGAGGTTTACGAAACTATGATTTCCTTGTCACCATCAATTTTGGAGGACAGCGATCATTCGGATATATCCTCTAAGCTTATTTGTCAAAACGTTGTTTATCTAAAACAATTGCTTCCGGAATCTCAAAACTAAAGCTTATTAGCGTATATTTTCTTTAATTTTTGTTTAATACTAAGTTGGTAAAATTTTATGTGGATCGTTACAAAACTACTCTACATCTACTCGGCCTTTAATCAATGAAAATCATCATCGACAATTTTCGAAAATCTACGTAGACGATATAATAACTGCTTTTTTTATAACTCAAGTCAACACAACTCATCGTGAAAATCTGTGCTGCTTTTACATCCAGTCACTAAAATCACTTAGATAAAAAATACTGGAAAAGGATGCAGCTACAAATACGATGTTGTCAAAATAGGGGTAAAATTAAATTTGGGGGGTTGTTGCTGTTGTTGTTGTTGTTGTTGTTGTTGTTGTTGTTGTTGTGGCTTTCCAGTAAAATACTGGTGGGAATTTCTTCCATAGAGTTTATAATATTGTCCAGTTATTTTTGCACGTTGTACAGTCGCAGCATATCTGCCAAGTGCAGAGGTTGAGGGTACTGTATTTTTCACTGTAGAATTTCCACATAAGAGTTGTGATGCGCTGTTTGAGTCCCTGTTCTATCCTGAAATTGACTGAATGATCAATTCTATTTGAAACTCTGGTTGTACGAAAAACTAATTCTCCCCTGCGTTTTTCTGTTCGAGTTTTGGGTAATTTGAAGGGCTCTAATCGTCGGTCAAGGGTATTGTTAGCTGTGGGAAGTGGGATGCTGTGGTGTTCGTGGTCAGTGCAGAGTTTTGAAAGCAAAAGTAAGTCATTGGTCTGTAGGAACATTGGCAGAGGTAAAATGTTGGGCATTCTAAGTTGATCAGTGTATTTTTGGCAGTGTTTTCCACATATCCACTTTACTACTTTCTTTTGAAAAAATTCAAGTTTTTGTAGGTCTTTTCTCAGAAGGTTTGCACAGTGACAGCCGTAGGTTAGGACTGGTAGTAATATTGATTTGTAGAGACCTAGTTTTACAAAGGTGTTGACGTTATATGCTACATTTCGTCTTAAACTGTATAGTAATTTGTTTGCTTTCTTTAATCGTTCGGTTAGATGAGTGCTCCAACTAAGATCTCCTAACATGTGAATACCCAGATCTTTTATAGGTTTTGGCTGAGCTACACAATTTCCGTTCAAAAATAGATTTATATCAACACCTCTGAAGTTTATTTGAGCGCATTTTTTGAATTCCAGTTCCATGTTGTTTTGTCTAACCCAATCTTCGATTTTGTTTAAGTCAAGTTGTATTTCATCTTGTTTGCGTCCAACAGATAGAATATTTAGATCGTCAGCAAATATTGAGGGTTCACTGAAGCGTAGGACTTCAGGGAGATCATTTATAAAAACACAGAACAGGAGTGGGTCCAGGAGTGAACCTTGGGGTACCCCGCTGGTTATTTCGAGGACGGTGGATGTGTAGAAATCAACCCGAACAAATTGCCTTCGGTTTCTGAGATAGTCGAAGATGATTTCTAGCAGGCATCCACCTACACCAATATCACTCAATTTTTGGAGTAATAATTTGTGGGGGACTTTATCGAAGGCCTTTGAGAAATCAACATTTCAGGATGTCAACCTTTCATCAGAATTTGTCTAATTCAGTCTGAAAAATGAAAGTAAGCGCACTTTTTATCGTATCGACGCGGAAACAATTTTTCGGAAGATTTTTCTAGAATCTTCTTCATGAATGATAATATAATACCCCATTTGGCTAGTAAGATAGTTTTCATTTTTTTAGTTATGACGAATTTGCTGCCGCGCCAAAAAAAACTGCTTGATTTGTTTTGGAAGCACGTGTAGGCCTTCTCATAGCAATTTACAATGATCAGCAAAAACATTATGCGATGATTTAGCTAATTGCGCATAAGAAAATAGTTTTTTTTTGCTGGAATATTTTGCTAATTTGCTATTATTTAAGTTTTGTTGGCAAAACAAAAGTCCGACAGTAAATTCAAGTTTTAGTGATCGTTTTTGTGTTTGACAAAATATTTTGGCTCTTTTTCCAGGCCCCCTAACGTGAGCATCAATTTTATTGTCTAACGAGTGGTTTTACAAAATTAATTATGAAGACTAAATATGTTTATCATGGCCTAATTTATTTGCATGTCAATTTTCATGACATTCGGACAATGCAAACAGTAATTTTAATTTTAAAAAATTGCAGGTGGGGGGGAGGAAAAAGAGCCAATATTTTGATGGACTCGACTTCATGTAATAATTTTGAGTCCAGCTGGTCGACTCAATTCCCGTCCCTGGTCGACTCATGTATTGACGTCCCCCTTTGTACTATTTTGAGATATCCCTTTTGGCTGACTGACCCTATAAACTTTATAAAGCACCTTCGGTGCCAAAATATACTAAACTCGAGGGGGGGGGGGGGGAGAGCGCGCCAAAAAAAACCCGATTTTTTGGCCAAAATGTTCCAAAAAGTGCCTAAAAACGCCTTTTTTGTCCTGTTTTTTCAAAAATTTGGCTGCGCCGCAGAAAATTTGGTAAAATGGGGTCTTCATAGTGATTTGGGAATTCTCAGAAAATCACTTTGGTTGACCTAAAAAAAAAGGTCGACATATTTTTTTGAAAATTAGCCCCCCCCCCTCCTCGAGAAAATCCTAGATCCGCCCCTGATTCGACCCACTCTAAGTTTTTTGAACTGGTCAAAAAGTTAATTTCAAGGACATGATCGAGCAGTATAACGACTGAACTGATTTGACTTGCAAACTTTCCGGGTAAACATTTTACGTTATACTTTAAAGCAAAATAAAAACATTGAATTTATAAGAAAATTCCAGCAAAATAATAACCTTTACATTCTAAACATTAGAAAGCTATAATAATAAGTAGCTTAAGTCAAGTGCTACATTGTCGAGACAAAAGGTTATTTGGGTTTTGTTTATATCAAACAACTTTGAAAACATCCGATTGAATCATGAATTTGTTTAATGGATTTAAGTTTCTCGCTCTGATTCTCAGCGGAGTTGGGACTTTTTTGATATCAGCCGATGAAGCAAAAAAAGAACCGAAAAGTTTTTCTAAACTAGTGACCCAGTCCATCATTAAGGGCACTCCGAGTCGTTATCATTCGTTCTATGTGCGAGTAACCACTTCGGATCCTTTCTCGTGGTTGTTTTGTGGGGGTACTAGAATTGACAGTCTATGGGTTCTCACTGCAGCTCACTGTGTCAAAAACAGTTCCCGTTAGTCTCATCGCCAAGAACATATAAGCATAACTCTACCAAATGTGTTGACCTCTATACAATAAAAAGGCTGGTCATAATTTTGCAAAAAGAAAAATGTTTAGCATACTTACATGATAGATTCATATGGAAAAAATGCTTATCATACACAGGGGCGGTTCTAGGTCTTTCTCGAGGGGGGGGGGGGGGGGGGGATTTTCAAAGAAGTTTTTTGTTGATTTTTTTATGGTTGACCAAATTGATTTTTTGAGCTCTCCCAAAGCACTAAAAAGACCTTGATTTGGCCAAAATTTCTGCACCGCAGGCAAAAGTTAAAAAAAAACAGGCCAAAAAGGCGGCGTTTTTAGGCTTTTTTGGATAATTTTTACCAAAAAATCGCGTTTTTTCGGCGCGCGCTCCCGCCTCAAAATTAGTATATATTGTCTCCAAAAGCACCTTTAGAAAAACTTTAGGGTCCATCACCACAAATGGATATCTGGAAATAGTACCAGGGGGTCAAATCCCTGAGTGGGGGGGGGGGGGGGGGCGTCCGCCCGCCGAAATCCGCCCCTGATCAAACAGTTTCCACAATAAAATGTTTGATAAGCATTTTTCTCTATGACTACAAAGTTGTTTGTCCATAACGTAGTCCAGTCTCACTTCTTCACACAAAATAACCACTCGCTGCAATTGTTTGTGTGCCGCCAGAATTCTCAATATATTATCATGCTAAGAGACACTTAAATCTGGCCATGTTTTTTTCAACCACTTTTTTTTAGCGAATGTTTCAAGCCGTATACATTTTTTTTGTTGTTCGACTGAGTGAAAACCAAAAAAAGGACAAAATAAAAAACGAGAAAAACAAAAGTTTTATTTTATTGTAAAAATTTTTCTGCAAACTTTATATATGCAAAACGCTTGTCATAGATTTTCACAGTTTTCTGTACGTATGGAATTTTATGATAAGCGTTTTAGCATAAACAAAAGTTGCTTAGTTAACATCTATCGTCAACGCGGGATACCCAACCCAATCCTTAAATCGAAATACGCAAAATTTGTTTGAGTTGCCTTTTCGGAGATTTAAAGACCCGATCTGCAAAAACTTAGTATAAACGAAATTTAATTTTCTTTATAGTTTGGGTCTTTAAATCTCCGGAAAGCCAAATAAAAAAAATGTGCCCTTCGATTTAGTGATTGGAAATCCCGGTTTGACGATAAAATTTTAATATCAAGCAATATTTTAATATGTTAAATTGTTTATCATAAATTTCCATTTGTACAGAAAACTCCGTGAAACTCTAGGACAAGCATTTTGCATTTATAAAATTTGTGTGAGAGTTTCTAAGAGTAAAGTAAACTAATTTTTCTTTGGTTTTTTTCGTTGCGTCCAATTTTTTGGATATCATCCAGTAGAATAACAAAAAAAAAATTAATTGCTGTTTGAAGCATTCACTGAAAAAATGTAGTGGTTGACTTTCCTAAATTAATGTTTCATTCATTTATAAATTAAAAGAATTAGAGTCCCAGATTTGAACAAAAAGCTGCATTACTTTTTAAACTCAGAATTGGATGAAATTCAATACATTGTCTCATGGTCCAATCAACTGTTTTATCGCCACTTTGGGAAGATCAAAACTATATGTGTTGAAAAAAATGTTGAAACTATAAAATACAACCGAAAAAAGTTTTACGTCGTAACTCAATTTGCTGATCTGGTAAGTTACTCATTCAGCAATCTTTTATGGAAAAAGAAGCATAGAAAAATGTACTTGTTTGGTTGTTTTGCTGTTTTTTTAACCAAAAAGTGCTTCAAATATAGCCAAAGCTTCAATTTTGACTTAATTTATTGTGTCTTGAGATCACAGTAAGTAGGCAAACCTCACTGAAATTGTTTTGAGCCATCAGTATGACCTGGCTGCGGAATTAAAATTATTAGAAAAACCACTGACAATTTCTTCTATTCTAAGAAAAAGAACCGAAAAACTATGCTTGGGTGTTTTTCTTTGCAGTCATGTGTCGGTGATTGAAACAATAGTTTTCAACAAAAAAATTGTACCCCAAAAATATCAATTTGCTAAGTTACTTTACCTCAGATAACTTTTTCGAGTTCTGTGGATTTAAGAAATGCAAAAGCTATGGGCTAAGTTATACTCGCTCTTAAGATTTTTATAAATGGTTCTGAACATAAACTGTTTTTGGGTGGCAATTTATTCCTCATTACAAAATAAGTCCAAATTGGATTGCGGCAACGTAACCAGTCATTTGTATGGGTCACGTAATGTTCCAAAGTCTTTAAATAGTTAAAAAATTGTTTCATATTTTCCTTGCTAAAAACTTTTCTATAGTTTTTATAGGGCTGTTGAAACATTGATAGTTTCGAACTCACGCACGGGCAGTCTTGTTGACTTTAAGAGAAGTTCAAGTATCAAACTTTATTCAAGTTTTTTTAAATGTTTACGTGTTTGAGTACAAGTAAGATCACTTTCAAAACGGCTCCAGAAGTTTTGAGACATAGCTTCTGCAATTTTTGCCTTATTTGGGAATTGTTTTCGTCCTTTTATATTCTTTCAACATAAAGAAAAAGTGATAAAAGCTGCTACTGCGCTTTATAGAGCAACAACTTACCTTACAAAGTGGGATATTTTTTTTTTGCTGTGTTTGGATAAACAAAATGGAATATTTTTTTTGGGTTTAATTTTTCCCAATAAAAACAGAAAAAAATGAAATATCGATTCAGCTCAACGTCTATTCAATTTTCTATATCACTTAAAATTTCCGTTTTGCTCCTTTTGTCTTGTGTATTTGCCTTGCACTATTTTCCAAACCTTCTTTGGTAAAATAAAAAAATGTTTGGAATCTTTTTTACGACTCAATTTGGGACTACGAGCTTTTTTCTGACGCATCACCCGCCCACACGTGTGTTTCTGTAATCGTGTTTAAACAGGAAAAAAAACTGTATCCAGGGTACCACCTAAGCTTGCGCTGACTATGATGATGGCAATGTGTTTTCAAAAACACATTTTTTCATAAAACCTGTTACACTTCACAACAACTTGGGTCATTGAAGCCATCTATTGCAGTGGACCGCAAGAAAAACTTGCCCAATTTATTGAGCAGGCTTTAAAAATTTTAAATTTTGGTAAACCAGTTTGATCTATAAATCAACTTGGAATATTTTTAGATTTCTGCGCTTGAAAGCTAGTGAAGAAAATTTTATTTTGTTTGCAAAGCAATTTTTTTTATGAAACAAAAGTTACATATATAACCAATTTGCATATAAAAAATTTGAAATGTTTCAAAAAACTCATCGCTTGAAAAGCTTGCTCAGAAAAATTAACTTTTTGCAAACCGACTCGATCAATGAAAAGGCCTAAAATAATCTATTAGAATTGATTACAAAAAGATTGCACTCTTAATTGTTGTGAAATCATTAAATATCTTCTAATCGAGTGTAGTTAGTCATAATAGAAAATAACTATTTTTCTTCAAATTTTCCTTGAAAAATTCAAACACAGTGGTATAATCAAAAACTAACAGCTGGTTTTGGCTAAAAACACGTTACATCACAAATCGGAATGATCATAACTTTTGTATTTTCTCATTTTTTGCTGATATTAATTTCCTCTCTTTTATCGAACTTACGTCTTTTGTCGTCACTTCACTATATTGAGTTATATGTGAGGTGGTTAACTCATAGAGTAATTTCGTATAGGGTACACCGTCTGCTCGTCACGCTATCTTATTTTCGGCCGGATAGATTCGTGCAACTTCTTAGTCTAATACCGATCCTAATCTTACTCTTATACTATCTAGTCTCAGGTTGTTTAACTAGTCTCTGCTAGGCTCAATAGATCTAGGGTATACTGGTTTATTGCGGCTGCTGAAGTTCTCTTGGAGAGTCAACTAATTTCTAAGTTAAATTCAAATCTCTCTGGTGCTGAAATTACAAGTAATTTCAGCACTTACAAATAAGTGGGTTGTTAGTTAGATGGATCATTATTGGTTAATATTAAATACTTTACAATGGTAAAATATCTAATTTATCCAATCATAAAATGTAGTTTAGATCAGGTTCCACCCATCCGGGTTTTACAGAGTTTTTTAGAATAGTCTTTCTGTAATTCAAAGGATGGATGATGGACGTTGGTATTTGGCGAACATCATAATTCTTCTGGGTTTTCGTGTTAGAGAAGTTCCAGGTTCAATCGCTGTGTCTTCTCATGACAACGACTGGGTTTTCGCAACAAACTCAAATCTGATTTCAGAATGATTGGCTATGTCAGGTTTTTCTGTTCCATGTAGAGAACTTCTTTTGGGTTGACCTTGTCTGGGAATGGCGTGGAGATTGTGCGTGGAGGGGATGCCTGGTTACTCGGATCTGTACGTATACTTGAACATCGAGGTGGTCATTGTTCTAGTTCAATGAAGTCCTTTTCTGCGAAGTCAAGTCGTACTCTAAATCCTTTGAGTTGTGATTGTGGGCGGCATATTGATTGTGGTTGGCCATTCTTTTTCGAGTGTAGTGGGGTCATTTTGTCTTTGGATGTTCGTCTTTGGTGTTGTATGCTGATCTATATACTGCAAGGTATAATTTACATTTTATAAAATTTTTATTAGTTTGGTGTTTTAATTATGATTTTGGTTAGTTGTTTTCACAAAAGCTTTTTGTTTTAGTTCGGTTATTTTGAAGAGTTACTCACCCTTGAGTACCTCTTATTAAAAATAGGAGTGTGGTCACAAAGCGTGGATGTAGCGCGGTGGGTTAGGCCGGCTATAGAGCATGCTCAGGACGTCCTCTCTGGTGGGTTAGGCCAGGAGTGGGAGTATGATTTCGTGCGGTTTCTGTGAGAGGTCCTGTTGTGTGATAACGTTTTATGTTGGGTTTATTGTGGTTTTTCTTATGTTTCGTTGGTTGTGTCCTTTTTTCAAAAATCAAATTGTTTTTGGTATGGGTTTGTCTTTCGACTTTTTTGTGTTTTATTATTTCTTTCTTAGACTTTATAATAGTCTTCAAAAGAATA